TCCGAACCCTCTCTTTTCAAACCTTGCTTCCTCCACGATAACCCTCCGAGGCTTCTGAAAAGAAGATGGCCTCTGGACCTTCTAATATAGAACATTAACTTGAGTTCTACCAATAGGTAATTTCTCTTCTTGTTGTACATGTCATGTTACCAACGTCACATTTACTTGTTGTATTTTCCATGTAATACAGTTGTAAATTTCATAAAAATAAAAAAATAAAAAATGTACACTATTCCTTTAAAACTCCATTAATTTTCGCTTCATCCTAGCCTTTTTCCCGACCTGATAATCCAAAAAGCAACATAGAAACATATTAATCCAGATCACACACTAAAAATTCAGATTACCAAACCATAGAATTTATGTTATTGTAAAATTTTATTTTATGTTATTAGTACCATGAAAATGAATAAAAAGAAAAAAATGTTAATAATTTTATTAGTGAAAAAGTCGTGTGATGAATCTTTATCTTATAATGCTGACAAGAACATGACGTGAGCCTACATGAAGACTCATCAACCGGTTGTTATATTTACACGCAATAGTGAAAAACATAAGACAACAACAACGACAACAATTAATTAATATTGTCTTTGCCCATATTAAAAATATAAATAAAATAGTTTAAATATATATTTAATATTATATAAGAGTTTTTTTCCAAATGAGGCAGCAGTTGTAAACAGACCCTCAGTCCCTCTGTGGCGCCAGGCCCTTCAATTGAAAAGAAACGGGCAGACTCCCTAAGTGGCCAATCCTAAAGAACTTCTGTATCGCTCTCTATTGCAGAGGGAAACCACCATTCAGAGGAAAAATGAATATTATGACGAAAAGCCTCGAAAACTCGATATTTTCCGACAGGAGTCAACGAGCACATGTTAAATAACTATAAGTATCGCCTGAGGGTAAATTATATAGAGTGAGACAAAAAAAAGTCTAAGTATAACTCTCTCTATAATCAGACACTGGCTAATTATTTATTATGTAACTAGGTTTCATTTACTTATTTTTCTTGCTTCTGTGACAGCATTTGCTGATGACATAGCTGTCTCATGCAGCAGTATGAATACCAAAAAAAGCTATGCAGCAGGCGGAAATAGCTTGCGAAAAAATTGCAGAACTGCTAAAAATCCTAAACATAGATGTTAATCCTGATTCATTCATTCATATATTGTTCGAATCTTTAATCTTTTGTATTTGTTCATTATTGATTGTAGAATAAAATTAATTTAAATTTCCTCTCGTAATTTTAAGACCACTATATAGAAATATTGTGTAAAAATTAATGTAATATCATAATTGATGAAAAAAATTAATTATGATATTACATTAATATTACATTAATTTTGCCTTCGGGCAGTGGAAGGAATTTGTTCCATGTATAGATTGTATTATTTTATACTATATATGTAAATTGTTTCAATAAACATTTTAGAGGGTAAGAAAAAAAGAAAAAAAAATATATATCATAATTTATTATTTTATTTATATAATTTATTATTTATTTATATAATAATTGTAACACTACTACTGTCCATGGTATAGACCCCTTTTTATTAAATTATTAACATCCGCCTAAAACTTCGTAAATATCTTCATCTCATCGTAACCTATTAACATTTTATTTGGGAAAATTCTCGGAATTGGGGTGTTTTCGATCTGGAGATCGACATACATTGTCTATATTATTAGTTACTAAAACTCATGAATTGCTTTCCACTTGACTCGTAAGATAATATGATAAAAAAATCGGGAAAAAGATGGCCTACAAAAATATTAAGCCGTTTGGCGTATACAACCTTGTTATTTTGACATTTTGGGAATGGAGGTAGCGCCAAATGGCTTAATATTTTTGTAGGCCACCTTTTTTTTATATATTAAAATAAAAAAAATAGTCTAGTAGAAATTGATATAATTTAGTAATTTAGATATAATTTTTCGGCCAAATAATGCCTCCGACCATACAGTCTTGAATGAGAGTCTCATCGACTAAACATGTGTGAACGTGTCGTTTTAATTGAGTTCATTAGTTCCGGTAATATGTTCGCTAGAGGGAAGAAATAATTTCAAATTTAGTTTATATTATTCCAAATATGTTTATATAATATTATACAGATTATATAAATATTTTTATATAATATTAGATTAATTATATTATGTATAATTAAACTTTAAGATGCAGCGATCTGCATTTTATTATTTTTATAAAATAGAGTCAATATACCAAACATTCATGTCTGTGTAAACTTGTATCAGTTATTTTATTATTAGCAAATCCTCTTTAATATGATTAGTTTTATTATAAGAAAAATCATTACAAATAATAATAATTCTTTTTGCAAATAACTAATCAATAAAAAAAATAAAATAAAAGAATTTAAATTCTAAATATTCCGGCAATTTATTTTATCATAATCATTATTATCTTATCCTCATTACTAGAAAGAACAGCCTATTCTACTTGCGAAACACTACTCACTTGTGTACAGTACTAATAATACTATTATAAGTAATAACATAAATAAATTAGTTAGTATTTTTTCTGATGTTATACAAGTAAGAAAGATTGTATTGGTAGTTCAGTGGTAAATCCTCATATTATATTTTTATTTAACTCCTGACATAACTAACGGGTTTGACATTTAAAAATAAAAGTAACACACTCGTATTCAGTAAGTATTATTTGAAAACCTATAATTAGTAAATTTTTGATAAATTGAAAATTATTAAAGTATTGCTGTTATATATTTTAAAAAAATTGTGAAGAAGCTTTAAATAGAATAAAGTAACACATAATTTTCTCTGAAATAAAAGTAAGAGATTTTTATATGTATGTACAGAATAAAACTGAAGGGTCATTGCAGCTTCCTTAAAAAAATAAATATTTTCCAAAAAGAGAAGAATTAAACAGATAATTAGCGGAAATGTCATATGAACTTTTGTTTCATGTTTAATTAGGTTTATTATTTAATATTAGATGAATAATTTGTAACTATTCACTTAATTTTTTTTTTTATACCTGAAATATTACAATCTGTAATGATTAAGAAAATTTATAACAGTGTTCAGAGAGCATATTCACACTATATTTACAATAAATAAAAATAAATAATACACACACTAATAATAATATAAGTAAATGTATATAAATAAAAGAACTAAACTAATCAAAATAACTAAAATGCATGCATATTTACAGAATCCATTCACTGAGAAGAATTCCAACCCAAGCCATTCTCCCCACTCATGGAAGGAAAGGCAGGACTCTAGGAGATCCCAGCGCCTCACACTCAGCCGCATTACTGATATTAAGGACAAGTAGAGGCTGAGGAGAGGCGCTATAATAACATATACTTGACTGTCACTTAATATTAATATAGAAATATATACTAACCGTATTTATAATTGACAGGTTTTGCTCTGGCCATATGAAGATCGCAAGGGAAAGAGGGGGAAACGGACCTGTAAAATAAATATATATATATATATATATATATATAAATGAATGAAACAATTAATAAATTATTTTACAAAATAGAATGAATCAGCATGAAATAAATACTAAAAACGCGAAAAATATCACAGCTTTAGTAAGGCATAGTATCATGAATAATCATATTTTTGATTATGATAAAACATAAATTTTAAATAGGGCTGAAGGTAATAAAATAAAAAGTTTTTATAATCTATCTATATAACTAAAAATATTAAAAATTTTGTTAATCTTAAAACGGATATTAAGGGGATTAGGCAACATTATGTAGATTTTTTTTTATTCATTGATATTTACAACTGTATTATAAAAAAAAATCTAATAAATGTGCACTCAGGAATATAATAACATGAAATCGCTTCTTGAGAAACTACCCACTGGTAGCACTCAAATAATAAAATTACACAAGAAGATCAAGAGGCCACCTGCTTTTCAGAGGCCTCGGAGATTTATCAGAGATCGAGGCGGTTTGAAACGAGAGGGTTGGGATGGTTCTGAAGTTTGTTCACTATGGAAGGATAGGTATCTGGATCGAGCCAAATAGGAAACATATGGAACATTAAGGTCATTATGGATGATGTTATTTGTGACAAAGTAAGGAGCGTTGAGGATTTTACGAAGGATTGTGGATTGTAAGGATTGAATACGAGAGGAATTCGGTGGTTTAGTGGAGCCCCAAAACTCAATTCTGTAAGTCCAAATAGGGTTTATTATAGTCATATATATGAGTCGTTTGTAATTGATTGTGTTAGAGCGTTTGTCTAGTAAGTGCTGGAGTAGTCGGAAACGTCGAACGGTTTCTTGTCGTTTCAGACTTGTATGAGGATTCCATGTGAATCGTTAGTCCAGATGGAGTCCTAGGTAACGAATTTGTTCAAATGGTATAAGTGGGGAATTGTTAAAGGATACTGAAGGAGGTTTGCGACGCTTGATATACAAATATTTGATTATAATTAGTAAAATATTACTTTTAAAGTATTGTTTTAATATAAGTTAAATCTCAATTTATTATATTACATACATTCGTCTGTAGAGAGAAAAATAATTATTTAATTGAAATAGCAGTAGTATAACAAGTGAAGTGTTCAACTGTGTGATGTAACAAGAAAATATAGTAAGATTTTATGGAATGTTTAATCTATAATTTAAACATTCATTGTAATTTAATTATTTACATATTTAAAGAAATACTTAGTAATACAATTATTCAATACACCGTATTAACGTTTCATTATTTTAATTTTATCTATGAGTATACTAATATAAATAATTTTTTATTTTTTAAGGAACTGATTTAAACGGACACCACAACGAATTAATAAGAGACGTAGCCATGGCAGACATACCTCCGAACATGAAGAGACTAAAACCATAGAGAAGAAATGAAACATCGTAAATTTCGTTTTTTGGGACCAAATATGGGCCAGGACAAGAATGTCCAGAAAAGCTCAATACCTCATTTTCCACAGAAATTTTCCTTACAGGATTTTTCAGTGTGGTTGTCGATATATTATATTACAAAATAAAAAGATGGCAGATGATAAAACGAGTCGAGGAAAATTATCGCAATAATCTGCTTGCAGCGAGATACAGACCGAGCAAAGTCTAGAATAATAATCAATTTAGACATTCTGTGGGTCGGGTGCCAGGGGAAATCAACGCCACTCTTCCTGTTCCATCAAACACACCCCGGCTGATGTACGCCTCTCCGAGGAGTAGCGAGTGCGAAATTCGATCCTATGTAAATTTTTTTTTTTGTATAACCATAGAGAGGTAACAAACAATACCCTCATACCTAATTCAGGTCACTTATGTGTACTTAAAGGTACATCTCATTTTTTTTTTCAGGTTGTAATTGATGATAAAGCCTGTAGTGTTGCAGAAATGCGAGACCGAGACATGGTCTTGAAAACTCAGCCTTGATCATGGTCTTGGTGTTGCAGTTACTTATTAGCTTATTACAATACAGATATTACTGTAATTTTTTAGATAGGAGAAACCTAACCAAGCCAGAATCAAAAATTAGAGTAGTTAAATGCAAAAGTATATTGGTCATACCAATTATTAACATATGTATTTATTTATTAGTTATACATATTCCTGGCTCACAATAAATTTGCCATCTACCTTGGTATTCAGCAAATATGATATCAAGGAGAAGAAATTATATAAAAAAAACTATAACTTATAACTAGTGATTTACCTTAATCAAAAGTATATAAAAAAGTGTAAAAATAACATTCAAAAGATACATAAAAAAATTATGAAATAAAATAAAATAATCGCTGATGGAAAACTGCGTATTTTATTTCTGACTGCAATGCAATCCTCATATCTTATCTCAACGTATTCCTATCCCTGCATTACAAAGACAAGATAGACCAAATCCTAACAATTACAATATAGGAATTATTTATTTGTAGTCTACTGGAATAATAGTCAACGATGATCTATCCAGAAAAAATGTTCCAGTATCAAACTAAGACTAAGTTTATTCTTTCTTTACTTTTATAGCCATTACTGAACATCTCAGCGTCTGTCTGTGTTCACAAAGCCGTAATTCCGGGAAGAAATCGCGTCGGAAACGCACCTGTATGGAACTTTTTTTTTTTAACATAAAGTAATTATTTATTGAGTATCACAACAATCTGTCTCTTGGACATTAGCTATAGTGAGGTAGGATGACATTCACAATAAAAATATAAAATAAATACAGGAACAAAAGTATGGAACTAACAATTTTTTTTTTCTCATAGCCCCTTCTTTATTTATCTTTGTCTGGGATCCTTGGATTTTCGTTGTCTTCTTAAAAATCCTTTTACTGCTAAAAAGCATTGTGAGGTGTATTTTGCTTTTTTTGTCTTTTGTGATTATTTTTTCTACATTTGTAATATAATCGGTGATGAGGATTACATCAGGATTGAGTTGACCTTATCCTCTAGAGCTTACAACTAAATTAAAACACCTGTCTTATGTAAGCTGTTACCAACGTTTTAGAATTTTGGCTGGATATAAGTTGTTGAAAAGAGGGTTTGCCAATTGTTGAGACTTTTCGAAAAATGTTTTTTTTCGTTTTGTGAGAAATTCTTTTACTGTTTATAAATTTAGCACAGGTTGCATATCAAATGTTCCTCTTACATCGATATATAATCTTTCTTCCTCTTACTATTTTCCTGATTATTCCATTTTGGAAATATTGTAACCTTTTTCCAGTTGCTTTGCTGACATGATCAAACAGAGGCGCAACGCACAACAGAGCCGTCCGTACATAAGCAAGTATAGATGGGGAGCTTTAGGCGTAAAGATAGGTTTGTTGTCCTAATTAAATTTTGGAGTATGTACGTCATAGATCTTACTTTTTAATTTTTTTGTCAAAATGTCTAGTAAATTTTAAATGTCTGTCGAAGTGAATACCGAGATACGTTAAGTCAGTCGATAATTTAATACTGTTTTTGTTAATTTTGAATTCATTTGGCATCTTCTTTTCCCTTTTTGATATGAAAATATAATTCCTTTCGTTTTTTTTCGGATATAACGATTTTTTATTATTATTCACATTTTCCAATATTAATATTTATATTTACATAAAATAAGAAAATACTATTGATATTTGCATGCAAGGTCCAACACTTTTCAATATTTACTGTTCAGACACCCCACAACATTCCGAAACACTGTTGGCTGCATTTGCTGATGACTCGGCAACATTAACGTCTAACAAGGATGCAGCTAAGGCTTCTCAGGTACTTCAAGAACACCTAGACGACATAGCTTGTTGGGCTAAAAGGTGGAGAATAAAAATGAACGAGTCTAAGAGCCAATTTGTTTCATTTACACTTAAACGTGACTCTTGTCCTCCAGTGTTCTTCAATAATATCGCTCTACCACCTTCAAAAACTGTACGATATTTGGGTCTTCACTTAGACAAACGACTGACATGGACATACCACATAAAACAAAAAAGAAAACAACTTAATCAACGATACGGACTTCTTTCTAGGCTACTTGACAGACGTTCTAAATTATCCGTGACTAATAAACTAACTATTTACAAAGTCCTCATTAAACCACTTTGGACATATGGGATCGAAATACCGGAGAACAGCAATGAAATCAAATATAAAAATCATCCAGTCGTTCCAGTCAAAAGTCCTTCGGAAAATTGTAGACGCGCCCTTTTACGTTTCAAACCTCACGTTACACACTGACCTTAACATTCCTTTCATCACGGCAACTGCCACTGACCGCTTTAATAATTTTCATGACAGACTGACTCTAAATTCCAATCCACTCACTCAAGCTCTATCTATTGCCACACACCCTTATAATCCGCCCAGAAGACTGCTGAGGCGCAGGCCAAGAGACTTATTGCATTGAGCTATTTGCTGCATTATCTTTTGTGTGTGTGTGTGTGTTATTTTCTTGTCTTTTTGTTTTGTTATTACTATTCTTTTTTTCTATATGATATCATTTCTTCTCCTTGATATCGTATTTGCTGAATACCAAGGTAGATTGCAAATTTATTGTAAGCCAAGAATATGTATATTATAATAAATTCACATTTTCATTAATAAAGTTGAACATGATTTCAATGAGACTTGGAAAACATGATTCCAAGGACACCATATAACGAGGACGGATCCAAAGCCTCAGGTATAATATTATGCTCTAGCTGAGCTCATATTATATTATATTCATCAGGCATTACAAAAGGCCGAGTCCCCGTTGTGCTCCTATCCCTCTTCACTGTCCTATTCAACATGCTTCTTATTATAACGAAGGTTCAACAATTCTACTGCATTTCCTAATGAACCTTTTGAGTAGTAAGTCGAACAATAACTCGAACTTATAAAGTATATAGTTAGGAATCCTCTATTATACATAGAAATTTATGTAAATATTATTATAACCTGGGAGTGAGATGAATTGAAAATGAAAGATACAGCTTCCATTGGTAAATCATTCAAATTTCGGTGTTTGAGATATTCAAACTAATGGGATAAGGCCCATTACTGCCAGGTTTTTATTTAAATAAATATTGTCAGACAAAAATTTTTTAATAATATTTATGACTGCGTCGCAAACCGGGGGCACTAATCATGTTTTTTAGCCCACCAGGTAATTTTATATTCAAAATAAACTCTATTGCATTGCGACTTCCTAATCCCAAAATATCATCGGTTTAGAAATAGAAATAGAAAATAACTTTATTCTGGGACAACGTCCCTTTAGAATAACAAAGTAGAACATAATTAAAATACTACATCTGGCCAAAATAAAACAATAATAAAATAGAAAATAAAGAAAATATTAGTTAAACAAGCTATATACAAAAAAAAAAATCTATATACACTAGGAAAAATTATAATTATATTCTTATGAAAAATAAAATAATAAAAAATACATTGAGTTCTTCTTTGAAATGAGGTGTTTTTCTGCTAACAAAGAAAAGACAAAGCTGACAATATAAAATATCATATGTAGACTCATCATTGTCAAATGCTAGAGGTACAGATTTAATTATATACCAATAAAAAATAATAATAAAAATAAAAATAAAAAAAACAAACAATAGATGCGGTCAGTGGCATTAAGAGCCGGAAAATATTGTAATATCCCTAGCGAAGTTCCCAGTATATAATAGCACTATCGTTTGATGATGACTAGAAATGTATATCGAAAGTTTAGCAAGTATCTGACAGAACGTTTACAGTATATATATATACATATATATTACTAAATATACTCATCTATATTTTCTAGACATATAAATATTTTTAAAAAATACTATATTCTGTGACTATATCCATTTCAAATAACATACCAGTATAAAAGTTAGTTTTGGCCAAAAGACTAAATTAATAAAAACTCAATAAGTCCATATTAGTTGGCCCGTGCGAATAATTCGCTGAAAAATTTCTTTCGTGAAGAAAAAGCAATATGGAAATAAGTAGTTCCTATTTATTATGTAAGGAAGGAATTAATAGGTTTTCCTTGGTCGATTACAGTATTCCATTAAACATAATAGACAAAAATATTTGTACTAATTGTTTTGCTAAGGCCTATTTTTAAACCTTGACTGGAAAGATAATAAAAGTAATAAAGACAAAATAATGTCTCGACCATGGAATTTTCTAAATTATTATAAAAAATAAAATGTAAGAACAACCAAATGTCTTTGAAAAACAATAAAGTTAATATATCAGACAGGAAAAATAGTGTAGTAGACTATTCTATTCCTAAATGCGTTCTCTTTAAACAGGAAGACATTATTAAGTATACCAAAATTAATGGACTGCATCTTTGTTAATAATTGTCCGATTTTTTTTGTTTTGTAGGTAATTTAGTAATCTTTCTAATTATCATGGGCACAATTCAAAAAAATGAACAGTGTTTGAGTTATTCGCAAATAAAATATCTTTTCCTTCATAACTTTTTTTTTCCGGAAATTTCGGGGGAATAGGACTATTTTTTGCATGTGAAGGAGAAGAATATCTTCAAAATGAGTGGTCAATCATTGGATTTGATGAAAAATTGACGAAGTTATGGCGTACCGACAAAAAAAATACTTTTTAGAAATAATATTTAGGATTATCGTCCAGAAATAGATAAGAAAGAGAAAATTAATATTACGAGCGAAAAGACATAATTATTATTAAAAAACATAGACAAAAGTATTTATGATTGAGGATTGATGGTTTACTGTAGTGAACTATTGAAGAGAAGATTGGTTTGGGTGGTCAGTAAAAAAAAATGTAAAAATAAATAAGTTTATTTATTTTTATTTTTGTCGAAAGTTTCGGCTCAAAGTCAAACTGGCAAGACTACCGCGATCTAGCAAGACTATTACGTGAAAATCTTTCGTTTTCAGATGAATGCCTGAACAGATGAATGCCCTGATGAAGGCCTGAACTTTGAGCAGAAACGTTGGAA